GTCTCCTCGGTGCTCAGGAGGCTCTTGCGGTGGGCGCGAGGGACCGCGCCGGACAGGAGTGGGAGGGAGCACAGGGACAGGAACTGAGGGAGACCATCCACGAGTAGATCGAACGTAACCGCCTTGACCTCGGGCAGCTGGAAGAGCGGGGCCATGTTGATCAGCTTCGGGGGGGTGCAGGGCCCGCCGAACCGCAAGGAAAATAGAGCCAAGCCCTGACGTCCAACGCGGGGGATTCCGGACATCGTGGGCAGGACCACCTCGAACGGGAAGGGGATGAATGCGATGTCTCTGACGATAGGGAGCCACGTGGCGGATAAGGGCGGGAACTGGCAAATGTCGGTGATGTTGGAGACGCTGTTCAAGCCCGTCGTCAAGGGGATAGCCGAGACAAATATGACGCTGTCGGGGCGCGAGGCGGGGGCGGAGCGCCGCAGGAAGGCGGCCAAGAGGCGGGTCAGCGAGTTGTTGTCGGAGGGGACCCAGAGCACCGCCGACTTCCCCGAGAGGTCGTCCCATAGTGTCTCGTTGCCCTTCTCCGCCTTGACCGCCAACGCGCGGGCCTCCGCTGGAGGCCGCGCAGCAGGATTGCCAGGGAGCAAAACGTCGGACCACTGCGTGTAGATCTCAACGTGCGTGGTCCGCACGACGTCGTTGATGGCCGCCAACGCCTCCTTCCCCAGCTCCTTGAACCGCGGCAGCCGGTCAGGCCGGAAGCGGCGGCGTTCCTTGAGCACCTGCGGAAGCTCCACCTCGCACCGCGCCACAGCGGCGGAGATCTTGCCCAGCAGGACCTTGGCCTGCACTGCATCGTCCTGTGGCCAGTCGGAGGCCGAGGAGAGGGAGATGAGAGTGTACGCAGCGCGGCCCCGCGCCAAGATGTCCACGTCCGTGGGGTTGGGGCCCTCCATCCTGGCGAACCCCAGGAGCTCCCACGTGTCCTGGGCGTCGGGGTGGTAGCCCATCTTGAGGAGGATGGCCTGCAACTCCGCGATGTTGGTGGGAAGCCGGATCGGGAGCGACTGCGCGTCGATGGAGGCACCAGCGATCGGCTGGACCAAATCGAAGTGGTGCAGTATCTCCTGCTCGACCCAGCCCCGAAGTAACGAAGCCTTGGACGGCAGTGGTTCGAGTCCAGGGGGGCTTGGAACAAGAGCGGGGGACGCGCCATCCTGATCAACCTCTACGTCGGCCACTTGGTCGGAGACGCCGATCTCGAGGTTCCTGGTAGCCTGGGTCAGACCCGTGACCTCAGCCGGCTGCGCAGTAGCGGGCACGTTCAGCTCCACAGCCCCGTGCGCAGCGCAGAAGGGCGAGCCCAGGACCGCCTCGCCGGCCACCCCATGGCTCAAGCAGACCTGGCAGGGAGGCATCAGACTGTACAGGTGTGGGTGACAAAATAAAAAGGAGAGCGCCTGAATGCGCCCTGTGCGCGGGCACTTGGGGCCGGCCACGTTTGAGCCGGATGATTACTTGAGCCAGTACCTCGCCGCTCCCTGAGGGGCTTGCAATCTGCGCAACTATGGCCACTTTCGTGGGCTCCTGGGAGGCCCAGCGGAGGTGGGTCCCACGCGGACCACCTCGGTACCTCGCCGCCCCCTGGGGGGCTTGCGATCTGCGCAACTCTCGCCACTTTCGTGGGCTCCTGGGAGGCCCAGCGGAGGTGGGTCCCACGCGGACCACCTCGGTCCCTCGCCGCCCCCTGGGGGGCTTGCGATCTGCGCAACTGTCTCCACTTTCGGTGGCTCCTGGGAGGGCCAGCGGAGGTCGGTCCCACGCGGACCACCTCGGGACCTCGCCGCCCCCTGGGGGGCTTGCGATCTGCGCAACTGTCACCACATTCGTGGGGTTTGGGAGGCCCAGCGGAGGCTTTCGTGGTGTTTTAGCCCTCGCCGCCGCGCCCTTTTGTGTTCACTCTTTGGGCGAGTTTCTTTCAACGCCCCTGTGTTACCATTTTGTATAGTTGCCGTTCCTCTTCTTGCTGCGCTCTTCTGAAATGACTGCTGGATGCTCTTCTTGCGCGCTGCGGGTCCTTCAGAATGCCAGTCAACATTGAGTTGTCCTGAGTATCCGCCGGCCCCCTTGTGGGGCCACCAGGCTGTAGGCCCGTGATTCGCAGTTTCCTGTACCAGTTGTAGTTTGTAGTTTCCAGTGTTACAGTTCTGCTTCTTGCTGGTTACTGTAACTAGTTGATTGACCGCGCGAGGGGAGGGAGGCCCAAACCAGATTTTTAGCACCACCTGGGCGCGTTGTCTGAATTGCTGGGGGGGCTCAAAATCGACACCCCTCACGCAGATCCGCGGGGTCAGGGTCCAAAAACACATGGGATTTGCCACATTTCTGAAATTCGGTGCCACCCCTCACGCAGATCCGCGGGGTCAGGGTCCAAAAACACAGGGGATTTGCCACATTTCTGAAATTCGGTGCCACCCCTCACGCAGATCCGCGGGGTCAGGGTCCAAAAACACAGGGGATTTGCCACATTTCTGAAATTCGGTGCCACCCCTCACGCAGATCCGCGGGGTCAGGGTCCAAAAACACAGGGGATTTGCCACATTTCTGAAATTCGGTGCCACCCCTCACGCAGATCCGCGGGGTCAGGGTCCAAAAACAAAGGGGATTTGCCACATTTCTGAAATTCGGTGCCACCCCTCACGCAGATCCGCGGGGTCAGGGTCCAAAACCTGCTCTTCCATGGTCCATTCTCCGAGAGAGGGGGCCGGCGGCAGGGGGCGAAGCCCTTACGGATAATCGCCACATGTATAGAAAGGGCTGGGTACGTCACAGGGTGATTTTCCCACAACGCAGCCCTGGAGCGAGCAGCGTTGGGCAATCATTCACATTAACATAATGACACTTCCTGCCGACGCAAGTCTTATTCAGACCGCAGGGCGGGCCGACAAAGAAAAGCGGGATAGGGACAAAACAGGGACGGGCCGGAGAGCGAGGAGCCGAGGAGCGAGCAAGGGAGGAGAAGAGGGAAGGACGACGACACGAAAGGACTGACTGGGCCGACAGCCGGAGGGACGGGGGGGCGGACGGGGGCAGCCAAGCAGGGAGAGAGAGAGGGAGAGGACACAACACACAAAGGGGAAAGAAACACAGGGGCAAGCAGGGGGAGGACACGGAGAGGGGAAGGGGAGAGGGAGAGGAGCCAAGAGACAGAGACGGGGCAAGGCAGGAGGACACACAGGGCAGAGAAAGGGCGGAGGAGAGGAAAGACGAGGACAAGACATGCAGACAAACGAGGCACCATCTGAAGATATGTGCGTACAGCGCCATGGACACAGCCACCGCCTCGCACACGCATGCAACTAGACAGGCGATTGCGCTAGAATTCCGAGGCGGAGTTTCCGGAAAATCTCGTGGATGTGTTACACAGACGCCACCGCCACTAGCGGCCACCTGAGGAGACCCCTGGCCAGAGTGAGGGGCCAGTGGAATCAACAAGCGGCGGAAAGCGAGCGGTCCTCATGCATGCCAAAGTAAGCCGTGAAAACAATGCCAGCAGAGGGTGAGAGGGAAGGGAGAGAGGACGAGGAGGGAGAGCAAGGCGACACAAACAAGAAAAATAAACGCAACGAACAGAACTTAAAATAGGAAAATGTCAAGTGATAAATGTCTCAGTGTGGCTGATCAAATCTACCTCTTCTCGTGAAGACCTGTGTCGTGGACCTGGCCCCTGAACCCAAATCCCAGCAACAATACGTTCCAACTGCTTATGCCCAGCTTCGGCGGAAGTACAATATTGGATAACAGTGTCGACGGCCACGTTGTCATCCACAGGCCTGCGTTGATGACGAATGCTGTTGACAGCCTGGTAGACCCCGTACACCAGCAAGGCACGGCGCACAAGGATGTCGTCACTGTCCACGCCGCCCCGGTGAAGCCCGAGCCTAGCTCCGACTAGCTCTGCCCATCCCAGCTAGACTCTTGCCAGCTACGTCCAGCACAGCCTGGCTCAGCGCAGCTCGGTCCAGCCCAATCAAACTCAGTCCAGTTCAGATGAGCTCAGTCCAAGCTAGCTCAGCTCAGCCCAGGTCAACCCAGATCAGTTCAGACCTGAATTAAGAACAGTGCGAATCAGCGTTCCAATGAAGTGAAACACAAAAAACAATGTACGTGCGGGGGCCCCCACACCGAAGCAGTCCTCACCTTTATCATCCAACTGTTTTCGCAGCCGTCCGGCCGGAAAGAAACCCTGACAGCGCAAAGTTCAGGAACATAGTGAGAAGGGAGCACAATGGAGGGAGGAAGGGTATATATATTGATGAGGGACGCAGAGAGGAGGGAAAAGGGAGCAGGGAAAGAGGGAAGGGGGGAGGGAGCCTGGTCCTTCTCCTTTCCGCAGGAGAAAGATTATGACAGGGGCAAGGAGGAGGGGGAGGAGGGGGAGAGAGAAGCAGAGAAGGGGCGAAGAATAAGGAGGAGAAATGAGGTGAAGGAGGCGGGGTCGGACGAGAAGGATGAGGAGAAAGAAAATTATGTAGGGGGAGATAATGGGAATAAGATGCGTACGCCCATGTGAGAGCTGCAGCGTGTACGATAGACTTGTGCCACGCATCGCGAATGATAGAAGCGCGACTTTTTTATTCCGTGCACAAGATTGATCCCTGCAATCGCCGCCAATTAGCTCTCGGTGCAGAGAATGTCGTACGAAAATGATGGACATCGCAAACGCAGTCAAAAAACATACTCGAAGCATGTACACTACGGTGTTGCACAGTCTGGGCACGCACCTCAAACAACGGCTGGCTCGAAAGCAAGGCGACGGCTGCAAGGCTTCGCGTCATGGCTGCATGATCTGATCTGATCTGCGGCTCAATGGTACCGACGTGTCTGAAAACATGCACGCATGTTCCTTGCCTCACTCAGCGGTCCTTGTCACGCATGTTGTGTAGCACACTTACGGCCACTTGAAAAATGCATGTTGCAAATAGTCTGACAAACATGACACGTTAACAACAGGATCGAAGCAACAAGTGAAGATGCAATGTTGCCTCGAAGAGCGCCTTCGGAGTTGGCGTCTTGGCTCCAACGCAGTCCGACAAGAATCTCATAAGCATCTCCCCCCAGTCACCGCCGCTGTTTTCGCGGACGCTCGCAATTAATCTGCAGCAGCAAGCCACCCCTTGCCCCATCATGCCAGAAGTATGCGCCAAGCTTGTATGGAGAAGTAGATACGCACAGGACTCGCACGATGAGATGGGTGAACTGACCAGGAGGAGCACACGGGAGCCTAAGAGCAAGAGTGACATCGACGACTGGCGGGGAGGAAGGAACATCATGCAGCGACGATGACAACAGAAGTGCATCCCCAGCATGCAAAAGGTTAGCATCCTGCCCTTCCATCCTCTCGCAGCATTTGGAAGGAAGTCCCGTCGCTTGAGGCCAGAAGCTCCGCGGCGATGATCCTGTACAGCACGAAATGCTCTTGCTCGGGCGGCACCCCATAGCGAACCAGCGACTGGCACGCCTGGGGGGAGAATTCTCAAGTCTAGCGACTTCCAGTATGCTGTGCCAGCCAATGGTCCTGACACATGATCGACAAATAAGAAAGCCTCTTACACACAAAGGCACGGCGACCTTGCGCGATGGCTTACGCAAGCCACCAATCTGGAAAACACCGCGTGGTGAAAAGAGGGCACCACTTTCGCGGCCGTGCGTGAGCAGCTTGCGCGCGAGTGTCCGCGCAATCGACCCACCTTCGTTTGCGTCGCCCATACTATGACGAAAGCCCAACACAAGCTCGAAGCACACGGCAACCAGGACGACAACAACAGCAGATCAAGAGTACAATCGAGAGCGGCAACAGGGTGCAGTTCAAGAGGGCCTTGTTTGCACCCGGTGAAGCGGCGAACGTGCACCTTGAACTCTCTGTTCTTGCAAAGTTCTAGCGGGGACAAATGGACCACGTTGACCACGCACAACGGACCTCAGGTCATCTAACTTCGCGCGTCGCGCCCCGCGATGCGCATATTTCAGCGTCTTGGAGGTAATCTGGGAGACCAAAGGCTACCTGAGATTGAGAGCGTCGGATACCCCCTGCCGCGCTCTCTGGGGCCTGGAAGACATGGAATTGTGCCCCTGCTGCATTCTGGACCTGCAGAAGAAGAACAAACCGCATAAACATCAGCGTTCGGAGCTTTGCGTGGATTTCTTGGATCGGCGGCGGGCCCCCTTCCATGGCTACGCCAGAGGCGCCGCAAGGGGGTCCAGCGCCGCTCCAAGAAATTCGCGCGGAGCTCTGAAAGCTTATGTTTATGCAGGTCGTTTCCCCTCGAACCTGGGAAAGCTGGAACGGTGAGAACCCGATGTTCCTGCCAAAGTGTCTGGGCCAGGGAGATCTGAAGTGCTGAGAATTCGGTGGCTGATGCCACACTTTCTCGATGTGGGGAGCCAAGAACACTGAAAAACATGTTTCGAACACGATTACCCTAGAGCTAAAACCGTCGACACATGGCGATGCTTGTTGCTTCAATGCTTCCTGGATGGCCAACACCGATCAAGAGAACCTTGATGCTGTTTTAGTGCTCGAGATCTTGAGAACAGCAGCTGAAACAAAGCCACTCTGTTTTTAAGCACGCCAGCGCGGGGGGCAATCCCAAGACGGGAGCAGGTGATCCCTGGAGTAGGGACTATGTGGAGACACGTCTGTGACCTCGATTGTCCTCTACTGAAGCCCTGTAGCGCGAGACGCTGTAAGGGAGCTGTCGTGTGTTATGGCATTCACTCCACTGGATAAGCGCGTTGCTACATGATGCAACCCTCTGGGATCTGGGGGAAGAAAGTATGGCATGCTGCGGCTTTCTAGGCCCATGTTACGGTCTTTCGTGCCACATGTTACGGTCTTCAGAAAAGGATCCCGAAGGTCCACCATACAGAGCGTTGCGCTGGCACGATGGCGAAATTCGCCGCGGGCGCCACCTAGATATGAGACCAGTCGTGCGGGAGAGTTCGACATGATCCTGGCGAGCACCGTTGGCCAATTGCCATCGATGCTGAAAGACACCACACAAGACTATTGTAAGAAATCCCCAACGTGTGCATCGAAATAAACTGCGTGAGCCTCACTCAGACCATCCAGCTCGCTCTGCCTGGGCTAACCATCATTCCTAGCTCGACTGCCATGCTGATAACGTTGCAATACATCGGGCCGTGTGCGTGTGTGTGTGGTTGTGTGTGTGCACGTTCCTGGTTGCATGTGCCTGGTATCCACCTCTGGTGCTTGCTTCCTGCTGGGTCACCCCGCAGCCGTACGGTCTCCTGGCCGCTACTCCTAGCCATCGCACCACGTCCCCGTTTCTTGGATTGTGGCCCTCAGTCCTCAGCGTGTCAGCAAATCTCTTCGCTGTGGCGGCTCAACTGGCCTGGGAAAATGAAGTGCGGACGTTCCATCCCCAGCGTGGCTTCTTTGCTCCATTCTTGCACCGCCTGCTTCTCTCGTCTGGCACTCGGTGGGGGTTCCCGCTGTTTGCTGACATCCACACATGTGGGCCCTTCGTTTGGTTAGTGCCCATATCAGACTACATACCACTGGCTGTCACCCACTGGCGCATCGAAGGACAAAGCGTAGTGTGTGTATGTGTGCGTGTGCGTGCGCGTGCGCGTGCGCGTGTGCGTGCGCGTGTGCGTGTGCTGGGTGTGTGGGTGTGTGGGTAGGTGGGTGTGTGGAAGTGCTGCTGTGTGGGTGTGTGGGTGTGTGGGTGTGTGTGTGTGGGTGTGTGGGTAGGTGGGTGTGTGGGCGTGTGGGTGTGCGGGTGTGTGTGTGGGTTTGTGAGTGTGTGTGTGTGGGTGTGTGGGGGTGTGGGTGTGCGGGTGTGTGGGTGTGGGTGTGTGGGTGTGTGGGTGCGAAGGTATGTTGTGTGTTGCGTGTGTTGTGAGTTGTATGCTGCGTGGGTTGTGTGTTGTGTGTGTGTTTTGTGGTGTGTGTGCTGTGTGTTGTGTGTTGTGTGCTGTGTGTTGTGTGTGTTGTGTATGTGTTGTGCGTGTTGTGTATGTTGCGCGTGCTGTGCTGTATGTTGTCAGTGTTGTGCATGATGTGTGTTGTGAGTGCTGTAACTGGTGTGTGTTATGTGTTGTGTGCGCTGCGTCTGTTGTGTTTTGTGTGTTGTGTGCGTTGTGCGGTATGTGTGTTGTGTGTTGTGTGTGGTGTGACTGTTGTGTGTGCTGTGCGTACTGTGTTGTATGCTGCGTGTGTTGTGTTGTGTGTGTGTGTGTTTTGTGTGTTGTGTCGTGTGGTGTGTGTTTTGTGGTGTGTGGGCTGCGTGGGCGGTCTGTGTTGTGAAAACGTGTATCGTGTGTACTGTGTGTTGTGTGTGGTGTGTGTGTCGTGTGTTATGTATGTGTTGTGTGTTGTGTGTTGCATGGTTAGCTGTGCATTATGCCTTCTGCATGTTGAAGATGTTGTGTATGTCGTTTTTGTGTTGTGTGGTGTGTGTTGTGTGTGTGTTGTGTGTGTTGTGTGCTGTGTGTTGTGTGTTGTGTGTCGAGTGTGTCGGGTATGTGGTGTGTTGTGTGCTGTGTGCGTTGTGTGTTGTGCGTTGTGTCGTGTGCGTGTGCGTGTGTGCGTGTGTGCGTGTGTGCTTGTGTGTGTGCGTGCGTGCGTGTGTGCGTGTTTGTGCGTGCGTGCGTGCGTGCGTGCGCGGTGCGTGCGTGCGTGCGTTCGTGCGTGCGTGTTTGTCTGCGTGGGTGTGCGCGTGCGCGTGTGCGCGTGTGCGCGTGCGCGCGTGCGCGCGTGCGCTTGCGCGTGCGTGCGCGTGCGTGTGCGTGTGCGCGCGTGTGTGTGGGCGTGTGCGCGCGCGTATGTGTGTGCGCATGTGCGTGTGTGTGTGTGTTTGTGTGTGTTTGTGTTTGCGTGGTTGTGCGTTTGTGTGTGGTGTGTATGCGTGTCTGTGTGTCTGTGTGTATGTATGTGTGTATGTGCGTATGTATGTATGTGTATATGTGTGCACGTGCGTGTGTGTGTACATATGTGTATGCGCGTGCGTGTGTTCGTGCATCTATGCGCGCATGCGCGTGGGGGCGTGCGCGGGCGTGCGCTGGATTACCTTTGGCCGCAGCACATCAAGGACAACCGCTGCCTGGACGGAGGCGCTAACCCCGCCAACGCGACGCGATGATTCTCGACAGCTTTCTGGCCAAGTGCAGGCGCGACTACGATCTGGGGGAATTCTCGGGCGCGCCCCAGGAGCTCGACATGGCGGAGACGGGTGGTACCCCAGGCCCCTCTTTTCCCGTTGCCGCCCATCCTGGTCTTGGCGGGAGCTTGGGGCGGCGTGGGGACCGGCATTTCAGCAAAGTGCCCGAAAAGGCTTCTCAATCGCTTTCGGCGCATGGGCCCAGAGACCAACGCCCACGCGCAGCTGGCAGCTCACGATCATGTTCACGACGGACGCGAAATCAAAAAGGCTAACAACATCGGCAGCTGGTCGCATGAGGAGGAACAACACGTCATCCAATCGCTCTACCAATGCTAATGGGCCCCAGCGGGCGAGCTGCGGGCGCGCCAGTTCTGCGGGGCACAGAGAGCCTGACAGACGCCGCGGCACACATTCTTGGCGCGAGGCATGCCCCCATTCCCACCGCGGCACGCTGGAGGACCCAGCGGCGAAGAAGCGGTTGCACTCCAGGGCGCGGATCCGAAGAGAAAATAGAAGCGATTGCTGGTCTCCTTCCTCCGAGTTCAAGGCCACGCAGACCAGGAGTGAGCGGGCTGTCTCGCCGAGTGGGACAGCGGCATCGCGGCGCAAACGCCAGCGATCGGCACCCAGAGCGCGCCGCCCCACTGACTCGTGCCACCGACGCTTCCAGGACCAATTAATATGCTCATGAGGCCGCGTGGACACCGCATGCGGACGCGATAGACCGCGACGGACAGGGGTCCGGGGCCAGCCAGTCAGGATGGGACCGGGCCCAGGCCAATGAGGGGCGCCAGAAATGCAATTCAGGAGGGGAGGGAACAGGGCCCGACACAACCTGAATGGAACCAACAAAGAGA